AGGGTTTCATGAAGTAGGTTGTCAGGGTATGCTTGGAAGGGCCTTAGGGCTTTGAGGTTTCAGGCTCTTAGGGTTTCGGGCCTCGTCTGAACCACAAACCACGGTTCGGGGTTCATTGTGGCCACCCTAAACCCGCAAGCGAGGCCCCTAAGAGGGCTCCACCCCTAAACCCTAAACCCTAAACCCTAAACCCTAAACCCTAAACCCCATCATGAACTGGCGCTTCACAAGTGAGGGTAAGCCCTGTTCAGGTTCTGATGCCAGCACATGTCGGATGCACTGTGGCACCTGGAAAAAAGCTACTTCTTAGCTATCCTATGGTAAGAAGCTCATTCATAGGACACCACCTCGGACCCTTAGGGCTGTCACCTTGGGTTGGGGGGTCTTTGTAGGGATCCTCTTGCGGGAATCGTAGGGCCCTCTTCGGAGTATCTCGAGGGAACCTGGGGTATATCCTTAGGGGTGCGAGTCTTCATCACATGACTCATTTAAACATTTAAAGAGCTGAAGGATCTAAGGTTTCGGCACAGAACCGAAGAGGCAGCAGAACGACAGTGTCCTGTCTTCCCAGCCACCTAATCCTCCTCCGCCAAGAGGTGAAGACCCTAATCTTCCCACACCATGTTGCCCTAGAGTATTGAGGCCTCAACCCAAACACCCTATTTGAAGTTTCATGGGTACTTCTATGTGGGGCCAGAAAAAAGGCCTTCACCACAGCTAACCCCGAAAAATACAGCTACCCGTGAAGCTCCAAGTCAACCACCCTAAACCCTAAACCCTAAACCCTAAACGCTAAACCCTAAACCCCTTGTATCCAGTCAAGGAAGACCCTTGGTCTCAGACGTCCGTAGGAAGCCGAGGAAGCTGCACAGAAGGCGTACCAAGCGCCCGGGCCTCACAGGACTCCAAACCCTAAACCCTAAACTCTAAACCCTAAACCCTAAACCCTAAACCCTAACCCTAAACCCTAAACCCTAAACCCTAAACCCTTAACCCCTAGGAGGCTGGAGGTTGAAAGTTTTGTCAAGCCTCGTGGTTTGGGAATTAGGGCACTGGGGTCCCCATGCTATCCCTTAAGATGACCTTTACAGGGTTTAGGATTTGGGGTTTAGGGTTTAGGGTTAGCGGTTTAGGGTTTGGGGTTTAAGGCTTAGAGTTTGAGGGTTTAGGGTGATTAGTTCAAGGGCTTAAGGCGTTCTATCTTGGGTCATTCGGTGCCCAATTCCCAGAGTCCCTACTAAGAAGTAAGAAGGCGGGGGCAAGAATGTCCTGCTTGAAGGCGCATGGGTAGATATAGCTGGGCTTCAGGGACCCCCAAACAAGAAGTTCACCGGGGTGTTCACCCTACCCTTGACTGCAGCTCCCGTCTACTTCCATCCACAGTTACCCTAAACCCTAAACCCTAAACCCTAAACCCTAAACCCTAAACCCTACACCCTAAACCCGAAAGCCTAGACCCATGAACACCGCCGGTGTGGAGATGTACGTCAGATCGTTAGCTCAGGCAGCTGCTGAGGGGCGCCGACTTGCGAACCTGGCAACATGACGCTGGGCTGGCAGAGGCTCGCTCTCTCTTAGGGTTCAGGGGCTTAGGGGCTTAGGGGTTAGGGGTTTAGGGGTTTAGGGGCTTAGGGGTTTAGGGGTTTAGGGGTTTAGGGGTTTAGGGGTTTAGGGGTTTAGGGGTTTAGGGGTTTAGGGGTTTAGGGTTTAGGGGTTTAGAGTTTAAGATTTAGGTCCCTCACTCTCTCTCTCTCTCTCTCTCTCTCTCTCGACTGCTTACACCCCTGAGGAACCGAACCCGTAGCCTCTAACACAGGGACCTGCCTGAATTAAGCCTGGTGGTTAGGCAGCTAGCATTCCTTAGTAAGCCCAGGGTCCCTCAACCCTAAACCCTAAACCCTAAACCCTAAACCCTAAACCCTAAACTCTAAACCCTAAACCCTAAACCCTAAACCCTACCGGCCTGCTTCGGCCAGAGGGACTGAAGCTCTTGGAGGACCGCTGCCGGAATTGGCTTTTGCCAGCTCGGCGTACCTGCAGAGGTCTGGTGTCCCTAAACCCTAAACCCTAAACCCTAAACCCTAAACCCTAAACCCTAAACCCTAAACTAACCCTAAACCCTAAACCCCAAAACCGTCTTACAACGTTTCTGTGCTCGAGGCTTTGGGGTTTCAGGTTTAAGGCTTTGCAACCGGGGCAAGGGGCAACAGGGGCAACAGGGGCAACAGGGGCAACAGGGGCAACAGGGGCAACAGGGGCAACAGGGGCAACAGGGGCAACAGGGGCAACAGGGGCAACAGGGGCAGCGGTAAACCCTAAACCCTAAACCCTAAACCCTGAACCCTAAACCCTAAACCCTAAACCCTGAACCCTAAACCCTAAGGTTTTCGGTTTCGCCAGGGCTTTGCAGGGCTTCAGGGCCTTCACAAGGTTTTGGGCGTGGGGACTCGGGCTTTCTATAGGGTTACGTTTAGAAGGACGCCCGCCCGAGTTCTGCTCCCTATCTACATATAAATAAATAAATAAACAAATGAATATATATATATATATATATACATATACAACAGTCTATGTTATGTATCTAGGTTGCCAAGTAAACTAGGATTTAAGAAGGTGCCCTTTTCTTTGGTTCAGGGGTCTATAAGGGAACCTAAACCCCCACAAATGGAACAAGGGTAATATGTATGTATAATGTATAATATATAACACCCTATCTAGCCCCGTTGTACCAGAAAGTGATCCTGAAATAGCCTCCTGTATGACCTCTAGAATTTGGGGGCCCCTTGCAAGGGTCCATCTGTTAGCCCCCTAACAGGCGCCATGCGTGGCGCCGGCGGCTATCTGCGGCGTGCACTCTAGCGCCATCTCGCTCCTCGCCGGGGACGTGGTTTAGGGTTTAGGGTTGCTCAGGGTCTATAGGGTTTAGGCAGGCATGGTTGACAGGGTTTGGGGCTTTAGAGTTAAGGGTTTAGGGTCAAGAGTGCAGGGTTTGGGGTGAAAGGTTTAATTTAGGAGTTTCAGGGTTTGGGAAGCTTGGTTGACAGTTTAAGTGGACCCTGAAGTTAGCTCTTACAGTAGCCCTTCGTAGCCTCTAGTAACCCTCTAGTGACCTAGTGGTATAACTTCATGAGTAGTTTCCTGCACCTGAACCCTAACCCTATACCCTAAACCCTGACTCAGGGTGTATCTAAGCACTGCTTGGGGCTGAAGGGCTTGGAATTGAGGGCCCTCAGACCAGCCAATGCGACACTCGTTAGGGTTTAGGGTTTAGGGTTCGGGTTCGGGTTTGGGGTTTAGGGTTTAGGGTTTAGGGTTTAGGGTTTAGGGTTTAGGGTTTAGGGTTTAGGGTTTAGGGTTTAGGGTTTAGGCTGGGGTTTAGGGTTTAGGGCTTAGGTTTAGGGTTTAGGGTTTAGGGTTGAGGGACATGAGGAGAAAAAGATCCTCTTCGCCACGTTCGCCGCATCGTTGGGCTTGGCAATCATCGTCGAGGCTTCGGCGTCCACTTCGGCCAGGAGCTCGGCAAGCTTGCTGTGCAGACCTCAGCAGCCCTAAACCCTAAACCCTAAACCCTACACCCTACACCCTAAACCCTTATCCTCCTCGAGGGGCTTTGGGGAATGAAACTTGGAGAGGCTGCAGGGCTTGAGACTGCAACAAAAAATGGACATCCACTATCCCCCCCTCTAGAAGCCGTCAACAGCTTCAGAAGACATGGCAGTCCGAAAAAAAGAGTCTGAAAACCCCCCCCCCCCCCCCCCCCCCCCCCCCCCCCCCCCCCCCCCCCCACCCCCCCCCCCCCCCCCCCCCCCCCCCCCCCCCCCCCCCCCAACAAAAGAAGACCCCCAAGCCTGAGCCCCAAAAAATGACCCTAAACCCTAAACCCTAAACCCCAAACCCTAAAACAAATAAAACTAAACCTCAGCCCAAAAAAAAACAACTCCAAGGGCCCAGCATCTGAGAAGCTCGGCCGGCGGCCCACACTGCACCGCCAGGCCATCCTCTGCAGGCTCAAGCCAGCTCGGTCTTCGGGACTGAAGGGCTGCAAGGTTTAGGGTTTAGGGTTTAGGGTTTAGGGTTTAGGGTTTAGGGTTTAGGGTTTAGGGTTTAGGGTTTAGGGTTTAGGGTTTAGGGTTTAGGGTTTTTCGAGGCGGCTGATTGAAATCTTACACCCTGAGCCCTAACCCCCAAACCCTAAGCCCCAAACAGCGTTTAGACGTCTAGACTGCGCAGAACGACGGCAGTGCTTCATGGCGTGTCTCCGCGAAGGACTGAGACCAGGTCTTTTGGCCCCATTGCGCGGATTTAGGGTTTCCGGTTTGGGTGTTCCCTCTTATACTAGCAGTCCTTAGTTGGGATAATAATCGGGGTGCTTATAATCCCTAGTAGGGACTGTCAGTATAAGGGGGAACATCCCAAGTTTCCGGTTCAGGGCGGGATTTGACGGTGATGGACAGGCGCACTGTTTCTCTCCGCAGCATCTGCCGTGTCCTTGCAGAAGGGGCCAGATACGTCGCTTAGCTGTTTTCACATACCACCTCCCTTCCATCAGTAAAAGGTCATCAGCCACAGCGACTACTAGCCCCACCCCTGAGGAAGCAGTGCAGATACTAAGCTAGATGGACGACTGCGTTTACTTGCAAATTCGTGAGACATGACCTGCAAGGTCCGATTGCACGAGTATAAAAAACCAGGGCGAATTTTGTGCTTTGCACGGCAGTTGAGCGTGATGCAATCACTGTATCTTGGTAGCCCGGCCCGGTAACCATTTTGAAAAGGCTGCCCTTGTGAGGGTTGGTCACCTAGAACCCAAAACGAGGGAAAAGGGCACCACTGGGCTACCAAGGTATACTGCAACTTGTATCCAGTGCCTAAAACGTCTAAGGGAAAGCAGCCCAACCGGAAGCCTAAACCCTAAACCCTAAACCCTACACCCTACACCCTACACCCTAAACCCTAAACCCTAAACCCTGAACCCCATGCAGAGCTTGCTTCCTTCGTAGAGCTGCCGGGCCTTCATCTACGCCAGTGGCTGTGGACTGACTGGTCTGTGTCACAGTAACACCATGCCACCGTAACCCTACAGCCCGGACCCTAGGTTAGGGTTTGGAGTCTAGGGTTTAGGGCTTTGCAGTTTTTTGTTTTTTAGGGTTTAGGGTTTAGGGCTTTGCAGGGTTTTAGATGTTTTTTGGGGTTTAGGGTTTAGGGTTTCTGGTTGGGGCAGTGCCACTCACAGCCCACAGGCTCCAGCCGCATTGCTCCAACACCTCCAGAAAATTTGGTCATGTTGCAAACGGTTCTCCTGATTTTGCCCTCTCATCCCCTTCAAAAAAAACGCTGTAGCTGTGTAGATCTCTCTTGATTACATTCTCTCTTCTCTCCTCTCTTCCCTCTTCCGAGAGAGAGACCACCACCCTTCGACGGATTACGATCAAGTTTTGTTTGGTTCTAGCGCACAGGGTTTAAGATGTAAAGGGCATCACCTACTTCACTATGGCCCGTTATGGCTCTGGGTCAGGCATTGGGCAGGGTACAGCCCCTAAACCCTAAACCCTAAACCCTAAACCCTAAACCCTCTTTGGGAGTCTCGGGCTTGGGGGATTTAGGGGAGTGGTTCGGGTTTAGGGGCTGAGGGTTGAGGGATATAGGCAATGAGAGAAGGGAGCCCCAGGGCCCAAAGCTTGCCCTTAAACCCAACCTAAACCCTAAACCCTAAACCCTAAACCCTAAACCCTAAACCCTAAACCCTAAACCCTTTAGAAGCCCTGCGACATCCATTTTGTGCAGGCCTTGCTAGCTACAAGCAGCTAGCATGGGCATCATCCCAAGAGCTCTGAGTTTAGGGTGTAAGGTTTAGGGTTTAGGGTTTAGGGTTTAGGGTTTAGGGCTTAGGGTTTAGGGCAGCAGACCCCAGACCCCAGACCCCAAACCCTGAACCCCAAACCCTAAAACCCGACCCCTGGGAACCGAAAACCCCTGGCAGCCCCGCTTAAGTCCTTCCCATAAACCCTATAAACCCTAAACCCTAAACCCTAAACCCCAAAGCCCCCGCCCACCTTCCCCTACATCCAAGGGGGGGCCAGGATTCGAGGAGTCAGCTTGGGCACGTCCAGCCCTGGCGCCCGAGAGCCCAGCTTGATGAAGTGGGGGCTTCTGGGGGTTTGAAAAGGATTTCTGGGGGTTGAAAAGGATTTAGGGTTTAGGGTTATGGGGGTTTTAAGGGGTTTATAGGGGTTTTAAGGGGTTTTAGGGTTTAGGGTGTAGGGGTTTTAAGGGGTTCTAGAGGGGGATTTGGGATTTAGGGCTGAGGCTGTGCACCCCTGGGAGTTCTGAAGGGTTGGGTGGTTTTGGATCAGGATTTATAGGGTTTTGGGGTTTAGGGTGCAGGCTTTAAGGTCTACAGGCTTCAAAGTTTACTTAAGGCTTTCAGATTTCCCAAGCCGTGTTGCTCCACTTGGAAGCATTCTGTGAAGCAATGCGTTTCGAAGTCCTGCAGAGGTCCCTGCACTGCAAAGGTTACTTATGCACTAATGCTCCAGAGTCACGGCAAAGGAAGTACTGTTCAGGCGTATCGCCTAAGCAAATGATATTTCGGCACGTATGGGTTTGGTTTGAGGGTCCAGGGAGCTACCCCAACGCCCCGACACCCCAACACTCCGTCAGAGCTACGCCACTGGAACGTGTGAGTACGGCAGCCTATAGACAAAGTTTTGAACGTTTAGGGTTTCAAGGGTTTGAGGCCTTAAGCGCAATCTCTACCCTAAACCCCAACAAAACACCCTAAACCCTAAACCCTAAACCCTAAAACCCTAAACCCTAAACCCTAAACCCTAAACCCTAAGCCCGCCTGTAGGTGGCGTGAGGCCTGTGAGGCCACTTAGGCAAGGCGCCTGTGGCTGCACCCTCGGCATGCTGAGGAGACGGAATCTGAGTTTGGGGCTGAGGGCTGCCCTAAACCCTAAACCCTAAACCCTAAACCCTAAACCCTAAACCCTAAACCCTAAACCCTAAACCCTAAACCCTAAACCCTAAACCCTAAACCCTAAACCCTAAACCGAAAAATGGGAACCTGAAGCTGATTCCCTTAAAGCCAAGAAGGGATGATATGAAATGTCCCCCAAGGGCCTGCCTAGTAGGAAAAGCAACCCAGATGCCCACACACGGAGGGTTTAGGGTTTAGGGTTTAGGGTTTAGGGTTTAGGGTTTAGGGTTTAGGGTTTAGGGTTTAGGGTTTCAGGAGCAAACCCTGAAGAAGGGTAAACCTGCCAAACAGTTGAGGAACGTGACGGGCTTCGTGTCTTGAGGCCACAAACGGTACTCTCTGTGAAAACTCTATAACCCTAAAACCCCCGAACCTCCCCAATCCACAAAACTGTATAGACCCCAACCCCCTAAACCCCCTAAACCCCCTAATAAACCCCCTAAACCCCCTAAACCCCCTAAACTCCCTAAACCCCCTAAACCCCCTAAGCCCTTATAAACCCTAAACCCTAAACCCTAAACCCTAAACCCTAAACCCTAAACCCGAAACCCGAAACCCGAAACCCTAAACCCTAAACAAACCCTAAACCCTAAACCCTAAACCCTAAACCCTAAACCCAAGACTTCAGAGGCAGAGTTGCCACGCAGTCGCTGGGAGCCCACTCTCCACTTGGAAGGGGGCCGGATGCAGAGGCTCCTGACCCAGAGCTCTTCGTCGGTGAGGGAATGAGGGTACCCTGTATAATCCCTTGAAGGGGTAAATATAGGGTCCTCTATATAATCCCCTTTAAGGTACCCTATATAATCCCTTAAAGGGGTAAATATAGGGCCCTATACATAATCCTCTTTAAGGGATTCTACATGGTACCTCATTTTCTCAGTCCCTAGTTCTCAGGTGTTGAGCGAAACCCTAAGCCCTAAACCCTTAACCCTTACAAACCCTAAACCCTAAACCCTAAACCCTTAACCCTTACAAACCCTAAACCCTTAACCCTGACAAACCCTAGGCCCGAAACCCTAAACCCTACACATCCGGGTCGGAAGCTTCGACCCAGAGCGCATGTTAGATGGCATGCAGATACTGAAGACTCGCATGGAGCATCGGAGTGCCGAGAAGTGGCGTTTTTTTTTTTCACTCCACCTGCAAAAATATGGTACTTCTCAAGTTCCGGAGGAGGCCCCCAGAAGCACTTGTGTGTCAGGAGTCCATGGGGAAGGGTTTAGGGTTTAGGGTTTAGGGTTTAGGGCTTAGGGTTTAGGGTTTAGGGTTTAGGGTTTAGGGTTTAGGGTTTAGGGTCTGGAAGCTGATGGTTCGAACTATTGGCCCGGCGCCGTAAGCCCTAAATCGCTAAAGGGTCTAATTTGTTCTGGCTCAAGCTTGGGATGTAGGGTTTAGGGCTGTAAGCCGTAGGGGTTTAAGGCTTAACCCCAAAGCCAATGAACGCCTCAACCCTAAATGCCTTCTACCCTAAGCCCTGATCCCTGAACACATCAAAAAAACCCCCAAAACCCAACAAATGATCACGTCTCTAAACGATGGCCCATTTGGGGGTCCTTGTGATAAGGCGACCACTCTTATCTAGGGTACCTAAAAAGGGACCATAATTTTAGAGAACTGACCCAATGAGAAACGGGAGTTGCCCTAAACCCTAAACCCTAAACCCTAAACCCTAAACCCTAAACCCTAAACCCTAAACCCTAAACCCTAAACCCTAAACCCTAAACCCTAAACCCTAAACCCTAACCGGCTGTCCTGGATCAGCCTGAGCCCCGTGGGTGGCTCGAGTGCCAGGCCGGGGCCCAGGACCTGTCTGGGCTTTCGGGTTTAGAGGGTTAAGGGCGTAGCCCTAAACCCTAAACCCTAAACCCTAAACCCTGAACCCTGAACCCTAAACCCTAAACCCTAAACCCAGGCTTCAGGGCATAAAGGGCTCAGGGTGTAGGGTTTGGCGCTCGGGGGTTCAGGGTTTGGGGTTCGTGTTTGCGGTTTAGATTTAGGGTATCGGGTTTAGGCTCTCGGGTTCGGGTTTAGCTAGGTTTAGGGTTCATTGGGGTTTAAGGTTCTAAGATTCAGGGGCTGCTTATAGGCTTGAACATACTTACTTCTCCAACAACCAAGGAGAAAAAAGATGAAGCGTCATTATAACTACCAAATAAGGAAACCCAGAAAGCTTCAAGTATCTTAAAGTTCTACTATTGGATAAGTCAGCATAGGAACCCTAAACGCCTACACCCTAACCCTAAACCCTAAACCCTAAACCCCTAACCCTTAAACCCTAAACTCTAAAACCCTAAACCCCTGCAACCGCCACCTCTTTTTCATGGTCCAGACCGCAACTGTCTAAACCCCCTCAAGTTCATAAGGATGGATCCAGGAAAGAGTCTTCAGCACAATCGTTCAATGGGTTTAGTATAGAAATGTACATATATATATATATACATATATATATATATCATATCAGATCTATATACATACACACGTACACCTGAACAAATGCCGGAAATCTTGGGTGGGTTTGGAGGCGGGCCCATTTCTCAAGCGTTATCATGGGTTTAGGGTTTAGAGTTTAGGGTTTAGGGTTTGGCATCTCTAAGCCCCCCCAAAACCCTCCTGGATGCCAACAGAGTTTAGGGTTTAGGGTTTAGGGTTTAGGGTTTAGGGTTTGGGGTTTAGGGTCTAGGGCTTCGAAGGCCCCCAAAACCCGCCTGGATGTTGCCAGCAGGAACCTGCTGTCGCTGCCGATCTGGGCTGAAGCTGCGACTGGCCTCCGTGCTGCACTGAGTCAGCCGTGCGCTGCTGGTGGCCGAGCTTCCCTCCCGCTCCTCCTTCCCAAAAAAGCACGTAGGGTTTAGGGTTTAGGGTTTAGGGTTTAGGGTTTAGGGTTTAGGGTTTAGGGTTTAGGGTTTAGGGTTTAGGGTTTAGGGTTTTAGGGTATAGGGTTTCGGTTTTAGGGGTTATAGGGGGCCTTCCACAACAAAAGACTAAGTATCAGGGCAAGCTCCGGCAACCTACACCCTGACGCCTAGAGTCGGAGGAAAGGGGTGCTTGAGAGCCTTGTGTATGGGATAGAGGCGACGCACCAGGGTGTGTCGGCGCCCCGCATCTGAGATTTAACAACTCCTAACCCTGATCCCTCAGTATGGTTTACAAGGAGGGGCCGAACTGGTTTGGAGAGACTTTTCAGGGTGTTAATTAGTGGTTTAGAAGACACATGTAATTGGTTACTGCATTTTGTGAAGGGCTAAGCTTGTTGTTTTCGGTTGGGTCATAAGGACCCGATTTGGGATAGATTCTGATAGAACTATGGCTAAACTGCTGGTAACCCCAGTTCGAACCCGAACTACACATGAACCTCCTAAAGAATCAAAGTGTGAAAACCCTAATTAACCCTCTCTATCCTTTTTGATTTAAACCCTACTTTTTGGTGCATTTACCCCCCGTTGTTGAGCACGTTTTGGTGCAATCGGCACCGTTCTTGAGCCATTCTTGGTGTGTCGGCACCGTTCTTGAGCACTTTTTGGTGCATTCGGCACCGTTCTTGAGCCTTTTGGTGCAATGGGAACCGTTCTTGAGCCATTTTTGGTGCAATCGGCACCGTTCTTGAGACATTCTTGGTGCGTCGGCACAGTTCTTGAGCCATTTTTGGTGCGTCGGCACCGTTGTTAAGTGAACTTCAAACTTCTTAATGTTATGGGATTCTTTGGGTGGGTGGGTTTGTTCCTAAGCCTGGAAGCCCCTAATGACTAGTGAATGCTAGAACAGTGACCCTCTAGACCCTAAAACCCAAAACCCTAAACGCCAAACCCCAAACCCTAAACAGCAAACCCTGTCCTTCCGCCGCGGCGACGGGCGCCTGGACTTCCTCGGCGCCTCCGAAAGGTCCAGCTTGGGTACCGACGGTGCCCGAGGTTCTCGAGCCTCTCGGGCCTCTCGGGCAAGGGTTTAGGGTTTAGGGTTTAGGGTTTAGGGTTTAGGGTTTAGGGTTTAGGGTTTAGGGTTTAGGGTTTAGGGTTTAGGGTTTAGGGTTTAGGGTTTAGTGTTTAGGTTTTAGGGTTTAGGGTTTAGGGTTTAGGGTTTAGGGTTTAGGGTTTAGGGTTTAGGGTTTAGGGTTTAGGGTTTAGGGTTTAGGGTTTAGGGTTTAGGCCCCTCGGGCCTCCGTCAGCCCCAGGTCCTCAGCCTTCGTGGCGCTCACGTACTCGTCCCTCCATGGGGGGGCTGTCCGCTCCACGGGCTTCTTGGAGGGACCCGTGGTGCGCAGCTCGCTGAGGATGCGCGGCTCAATGAGCCCGGCGTGCTGGAGCTCGCGGGAGCTGAGGCTGAGCAGAGGGGGGGCCGAGGGACCCCCGCAGCGCCCCATGAGAGTGCAGGGCATCTCGTGGGACGCGCCGTACGCCTCGCGGAAGACCGCGACGGCCGTGGGCACCCCGCTCTCCAGGTAGGGCGCCTCGCGGACCACGGCGACGGCTGAGGCCGTGCCGGGCATGGCGCGCACCCGGGTGCGGAGCTGGACAAAGTCCACCACCTTCCAGTCCTTAGGTTGGCTCCCCTTCTTTGAGACCCTCTGAATCAACCCTTCTTGAATCAGTGACCCTCTTAAACCCCACCAAACCCCAGGATACCCTAAGATTGAGGCCACATACCCCCATTCTTCCTAATAACCCCTCTTCAGGTATATCCCGAAACCCTAAACCCTAAACCCTAAACCCTAAACCCTAAACCCTAAACCCTACACCCTGCACAGCCCTAAACCCCAGACCTTACAGAAATCAAAAATTAAACGTCCCAATCCGGCCCAGGAGTCCAACTTCAAGGCCAAAAGGCGCTGGCAGCCCCGGGTCCGGAAGTGAAGGTCCACCTGGGAGTTGAACAACGCCACGACCTCCTCGACGGTTTGCTTACAAGAACCCCCCCCCCCCCCACAAAAAATATGAAGCACATAGTGATAACCAGAATAATAACATATATATATATATATATACATACATGCATGCATGCATACATACATACATACATACATATATGCGTGTCTATATATATATATATATGGTCAGCCCCCCCCCCCCCCCCCCCCCCCCCCCCCCATGATCCACACCTATGGTTTTCTTGTCTTCGTCTTTGTCTGATTTTCTGCTTTTTCCTCGGAAAAATGCAGTAAAAACTGCACTGGAATACAACAAGCTCTAGTATAATATCCTCTATAAGAACACTAGTGTTTTAATGTGCATTTTGCTTCTGAAACTTGTGTCTTGCGGCCCAATAAAATTTTAGAAGGGTAGCAATTAGAAGTTTAAGGATTTTCAGGGTTTTAGGGGTTTGTAAAATTTAGATGATCTGTGGACGGCACCGGGGCTTCCCCAGACCATTTGCAATTTTAAAAACCCTTTAAAGGGGCAGCCCTTTTCAAATTTGAAGGGCTTGAAGGTACTTAAAGCCTTTCAAAATTTTCAAGATTTAAAGGATCTTAAAAGGCTTTAAAGCCCTTAAAGACCTCGAAACGTTTATCCCTTAAAAGTCTAAAATTCCTTAAAATTAAAAACGGGCAGCCGTTTAAAATTAAGGAAGTTACGGATTTTGGAATCGAACATCTTAAAAACTTTAAACTTCAAAAGGACAGCCTTTTACAACTGCAAAAATTTCAGGGTTTTACGGATTTGTAAAAAAATTATATGGTCTGGGGAAGGCACCGGGGCTTCTCCAGACCATTGGCAACTTCAAAAGTCTCTAAACTCCGCAAAGGTCAGCCACTTAAATACGTAAGCAATTTAAGGTCTTCAATAGGCTTAAAAAGTCTTAAAACCTTCATAATCCTGAGAATGTTTAAACAGAAGCTTAAAGATTTTTATAAGGTTTTAAGGATTTTAAAAGTTTAGATGGTCTGGGGAAGCCCCAGTGCCTTCCCCAGATCATGTAAAGTTGCAAAAACCCTTAAATCCTTAACCCTAAAAACTTAACACTAAGCCCTTAGCACAAACTCCAAACACTTAACATGAAACCCTAAGCACCTAAGCACTAGACCCTAAACGCTAAACCCTAAACACTTAAACACTACACCCTAAAAACAAAACCCTAAAAACTAAACCCTAAACATTACACACTAAACCCTACACACTAAACCCTGAACACTAGTAAAAATCTTAACACCCTTAACCCAAAAAACCAAACCCGAAACCCTTAACACTAAACCCTAAACACTCAGCACTAGACCCTAAACACTAACCCTAAAAAACTTAACACTAGGCCCACGAACCCAAACACTTGACACTAAACCCTAAACACATAAGCACTACTAAACCCAAAAAATCAGCCCCAGACCCTAAACACGAACCCTAAAAACTTAACTCTAAGCCCTTAGCACAAACCCCAAACACTTAACAGGAAACCCTAAACACTTAAGCACTAGACCCTAAACACTAAACCCTAAACACTTAAACACTATACCCTAAAAACTAAACCCTAAACATTACACCCTAAACCCTACACACTAAACCCTGAACACAAGTAAAAACCCTTAAAACCCGTAACCCAAAAAAGAAACCGAAACCCTTAGCACTGAACCCTAAACACTCAGCACTAGACCTAAGCCAAAAAGCTTAACACTAAGCCCTTAGCACGAACCCCAAACACTGAACACGAAACCCTAAACACTTAAGCACTAATCCCTTTCTACACACTAAACCCAAAACACTTACACACTACACCCTAAAAACTAAACCCTAAACATTACACACTAAACCCTGAAAACTAAACCCTAAACCCTAAACAGAAGGATTTTCAAGTTGTCAATGGTCTGGGGAAGCCCCGGTGCCTTCCCCAGATCATTTAAATTTGTAAAAACCCTTAAAACCCTTAACCCTAAAAAACCAAACCCGAAACCCTTAATACTAAACCCTAAACACTAACCCTAAAACCTTAACACTAAGCCCTTAGCACAAACCCCAAACACTTAGCACGAAACCCTAAACACTTAAGCACTTAACCCAAAAACTAAACCTTAAACATTTCAAACTGAACCCTAAACATTAGACACTAAACCCTGAACACTAAACCCTAAACCCTAAACAGTAAACCCCAAAGCCGGAACCTCGAGCCCTACTAAATCTAAACCTGAAACCAAACACCCGTCGGGGTTTCAGATGCTTACTGTTTGGATATCAGAGTTTAGGGTTTTTTGGGGGGTTTAGCCGAGCCGCTTGACCCTAAACCCTAAACCCTAAACTTAAAACTCAACCCTAAACACAAAACACTAAACCCTGAAACCTACACACTAATCTCTAAACACTAGATTTCCAGAAAAAATCTGGAGTATCCGGGCCCCGGACTCCAGATTTCCAGAAAAAATCTGGAGTACCCGGGCCCCGGACTCCAGACTCCAGATTTCCAGAAATAATCTGGAGTACCGGGGCCCCGGACTCCAGACTCCAGATTTCCAGAAAAAATCTGGAGTACCCGGGCCCCGGACTCCAGACTCCAGATTTCCAGAAAAAATCTGGAGTACCGGGGCCCCGGACTCCAGACTCCAGATTTCCAGAAAAAATCTGGAGTACCGGGGCCCCGGACTCCAGACTCCAGATTTCCAGAAAAAATCTGGAGTACCGGGGCCCCGGACTCCAGACTCCAGATTTCCAGAAAAAATCTGGAGTACCGGGGCCCCGGACTCCAGACTCCAGATTTCCAGAAAAAATCTGGAGTACCTGGGGCCCCGGACTCCAGGCCCCGGACTCCAGACTCCAGATTTCCAGAAAAAATCTGGAGTACCGGGGCCCCGGACTCCAGACTCCAGATTTCCAGAAAAAATCTGGAGTACCCGGGGCCCAGACTCCAGACTCCAGATTTCCAGAAAAAATCTGGAGTACCCGCGGCCCCAGACTCCAGATTACAGACTCCAGAATCTGGAGTCCAGGGTCGCGGTACTCCAGATTTTTTCTGGAAATCTGGAGTCTGGAGTCCGGGGGTACTCCAGATTTTTTCTGGAAATCTGGAGTCTGGAGTCCCCCCCCTCCCAAAACCCCCTTCCCGAGGCCAAATGTGTGGATCAGGGGGGGGGGGGGGGGCGAGCATATATATATATATATATATATATATATATATACACACTTCTTGAAGGGCAATATAGGGATCTTCAGAGCCCCATCCAAAAATCAAACATGTTCTTCCATTTAAGGTCAATATGGGGCTGTTATCCTTTCTCTTTTTGTTTCGGCCGGGGGGGGTTCTTAAAGCAAGTAGTGGTCCTCTGGAGTGGCGCCATTGCAGTGGTGCCGCAGCTTTCCGAAGAGGTCCGCATCATCCAAGACCAGCCCATACCTTGTAGTAGCACAGTCACCATATGATAATAAGGTCACCCTTTTTTGTGTTGGAACCCATAACCAAAAAAAAGGGTAAAGGGTACCACTGGGCTACTAAGATACTTCACCTGGAGCATCTCCTGAACCACCGCGGCCACCTTGGTAACCCAGTAAAACCATGTCATTTATTCAGAATGTCCTTTTTGGGGGTTGGCTCCTTTACAAGGCACCCCCTGGGCCCATAAACCCTAAACCCTAAACCCTAAACCCTAAACCCTAAACTCTACAAAACATCGCAAGAAGGGTACCACTGGGCGACCATGCAACAGCTTCCAAGGAGTGCAGGACGGTGGAAACCGTTGCCCTTTGAGCTTGCTCCTCAGAGACGGCACTTCCTTGGCAGACGACAGGATGGGCTTAGGGTTTAGGGTTTAGGGTTTAGGGTTTAGGGTTTAGGTCCTATACCCTGTATACTAATTATTCTATTCTTTTTTCAGGTCTATGCTAACCCTGAACTTCTAAAAGCCCTAAACCACTAACCCTAAACCCTAAACCCTAGCCCTAAAACCTATAAACCCTAAACCCTAAACCCTAAACCCTAGCCCTAAACCCTAAACCCTAAACCCCAAACCCTTGCATGGCCCAAGGTTCTCACAGCATCAAAGGCAGCCGCCATGTCCAGGCCGCCGGCGCGACGCTGCCCGCAGTTTCGGCAGAAGACGGAGTCCATCAGCCTTACTGTCATGAAGGGTTTGGGGTTTAGGGTTTAGGGCTAGGGTTTAGGGTTTAGGGTTTAGGGTTTAGGGTTTAGGGTTTAGGGTTTAGGGTTTAGGGTTGAGGGTTTAGGGTTAAGGGTTTAGGGTTTAGGGTTTAGGGTTTGGGGTTTGGGGTTTCGGGTTTAGGGTTTCGGGTTTAGGGCTAGGACATAGGGTTGAGGGGTTGGGGTTTGGGTTTAGGGTTTGCAAGGGAGCAGATGTTGAGAGGAAGGCGCTTTCCCCAATTTCAAAAGCCTCACGGGAGTGGGGGTACACGACGCCACATGGGAGTCTTACCCATATAGGCAGCTGAGCTCCCTAAACCGAAAAACCCTAAACCCTATACCCTAAACCCTAAACCCTCAACCCTAAACCCTCAACCCTAAACCCTAACCCTAAACCGCTCTTTGCAAGTGGCCGGTGCAATCCTTGGACCAAAGTGAAAAATGAGATGCCTCAATTTTCGCCAAGGCGGCAGATGTCCACCTTGGTGCCCAGGAACCATACTAAATTAAGGGCACCCGTTAAGGTTTAGGGTTTAGGGTTTAGGGTTTAGAGTTTAGGGTTTAGGGTTTCGGGTTAAGGGTTTAGGGTTTAGGGTTTAGGGTTTAGCATCTATAGTCCTAGCAAAGGGTACGACTGGGCTACCAAGCCACAGTTAGAGCAGCGCGAGGACTTTGCCAGCTTCTCCGACTCACTGGAGGAGTCTTGGCGGTTGGTCGCCAGCGAAGCCCGCGCCTTCGGAACGAGGAGCCGCCTTTTCAAGCAAAGCAAAAAAGGTTAGGGTTTAGGGTTTAGGGTTTAGGGTTTAGGGTTTAGGGTTTAGGGTTTAGGGTTTAGGGTTTAGGGTTTAGGGTTTAGGGTGTAGGGCTTCGGGCTTAAGGTTTTGGGTTTAGGGTGTTGGGCTTTAGGGTTTAGGATGTCGGCGCCTGGTCCGGCGATGCGGGGGTTAGTACGCTTGCAAGAGGTAGTCAAGGCCTGCTGAAGTCTGCTACTCATGACTCCTATTTGCTCAAGAACCCCCCAAAAACTAATAATCCCTATAGTACCCTTATAAGGAATGATGTTTTTGTTGGGGGTTCTTAAGCAATTGGTAGATGATCGAAACTATACTCACGACCTCTATAGCCGCGGCTGCAGTAGTAGGCTAGTTGTACCATCGTGCTTGCTTTATGTCCCCCGGTCTTTGCTCATTATTCGCTGCAGCTTGTTGTAGTGTTGCGGCAACTGCGCACGCAGTCGCATGCGTCAACATAGCCGTCATGGTATTACCAGGAGGGGGCAGGGACAAAAGGAGCAAGCAATAGGAAATACTCGCAGGTAGATAGGGTTCAGAGCTTAGGGTGCCGGGTTTAGGGCTTAAGGTTTAGGGCTGCATCGTTCGGCCTCCGCGGCGGGAGAAACGCCGGAGAGCCAGCCGGCAAACGCTCGTTGTGGGAGCCACGGGAGGCCCGGGAGGCTGAGGGACTGTCGAAATCCATGTTGCCAGCATTCAACGAAAGCTCCGAGGTACCGTGCTCACTAGTCCTATGCTTATATAACTCTCTGTCTCTCTCTCTCTCTCTTTCTCTCTCTTTCTTTGGCTTGCATTGCTGCATAGGTCACTGCGTGAGATGGTAGTCTAGAAGCAGCTGGCGACGATTCATCCACTCAGCGCTCACTCATCACAGCTACGTTTCAACACTCTCTCCAATCACCGGGAACATCTGCGACTGCTTTGATGCTTGACAGCTGATTGACTCTCCAAGGCACTGGGAGAGAAGCTAGCAGATCATCGTGGGCAGCGCAGCTTGCGGCTCCGAACTAGTAGCTTCAGGCCCACTTTCTGGGGCACCAGATAAACCCTAAACCCTAAACCCTAAACCCTGAACCCTGAACCCTAAACCCTAAACCCTAAACCCTAAATGCCAGCCCCGGTCAGATCCCTGAATGACAGCCCCCGGTCAGGTCACTACATTCGAGCCCACTTAGGAAAAGGGGGGGGGGGGGGGGGACCCCTGGTATGATGCGGCGGGGTTGAAGGGCGACGAAAACACAGATGACCCAAGGTCCTAAGTATACATGTACATAAGAACCCTGAACACTCCAGGCCAACCCTAAAATCCTAAACCCTAAAACCCTAAACCCTAAAACCCTAAACCCTAAAACCCTAAAACCCTAAAACCCTAAAACCCTAAAACCCTAAAACCCTAAAACCCTAAAACCCTTAACCCTCCGGCCTCAAGGATGAGCACAACGTCTGCAGCCTGAAGTGATTAAAGCTCCAAGAACGGGGGAGCGATGGGGATTCCTCTTACTTGAAGGTTCAGGTAGGGTTTAGGGTTTAGGGTTTAGGGTGTAGGGTGCAGGGGGTTTGGGGTTTGGGGTTTGGGGTTTAGGCTTTGGGGTTTAGGGTCTACTTGGGGGTTTCTTTGGTGCTTGTAAGTGCGGCTGGCAGGCCCCCAGATACGGGGCATAATTAACCACAGTTACCCTGCTTCTAACCCTACTTATAATTACCCATTAACCTCCAGGCAGCCCCCAGTTAACAAGGGCGCCCATTTTGGTTTAAGTACAGTACGCGAACATGGATCTACGCAGTCGGGAGTAAAGAAAGCATCCCCTGGTCGAAAGACCCTAAGCCCTAAACCCTGAACCAACCAGGGCCATACAGCAGCAGTCTTAAAACACAACATGTTACAAACAAAAGACACACACACGTCAACAGAAGTGGACTGCTGTGGCCCTCAACCCCTGGAGAACATAAGAGCTGCCCAGTGTATAATGACCTGAGGACGCAGCAGGGTGACAACCGGTGAGAAACCCCTCAGAAACTCATCTGAAATCCTAAACCCTAAATGCTCTAAACCCTGTAAACCCTACGCAAAACCCTGTGCAGCTGTGCGGCGCGCGCGAGTTGGGCCGAGGTGGTGGTAAAGACCACTGCGCTTCTCTGGAGAAGTCCTGGTTTCATGGTTGGTTTGGGTTAAGGGTTAAGGGTTAAGGGTTAAGGGTTTTGGGTTAAGGGTTTCGGGTTAAGGTTTTAGGGTTAAGGGTTAAGGGTTTAGGGTTTAGGGTTTAGGTTTTAGGGTTAAGGGTTAAGGGTTAAGGGTTTAGGGTTTAGGGTGGGGTTCACGAAGTTTCGAGGGTTCTGGGTTTCGGGTAGGAGCTTTGGGGTACTTGACTGGACACTGGGGTTACTATGTCGTTCGGGAACTTCTAAATCTTAAGGGAACAGCTTGTAGGGCTACAAAGATTGCGTAGCTAAACCCCAGGACCCAGTCATCTAGACTGTGCAACCCTCATGCTAATTAATGACCGCAGGATCCAGATGAAGCTTGCTTGACTAGGGTTTAGGGTTTAGGGTTTAGGGTTTAGGGTTTAGGGTTTAGGGTTTAGGGTTTAGGGTTTAGGGTTTAGGGTTTAGGGTTTAGGGTTTAGGGTTTAGGGTCCCCTAAGCTAAGCTCTGAGCCTAACCTTACTGACATACGTCTCACCAGGTGCATTCGAGCACGATCCTCGAATCGCGGCATGCCAAACGAGTCCGCCTGACAGAGATTCACGAAACAAGCGTTTTGCTGCGGGACGAAACAGTGCTTTAACTGGCTGGTTCTTAGTAGGGAATGCGGGAATGAGGGCCCTAGATAATCCCTTAAAGGGTATATATAGGGTACCTCATTCCTTCATTAAGGGAACTTGGGGTTAGCTTCAATATCATCACTGTGCCTAGCCCTCTAGCTGCAGGAATCTGAAAGCGGCCCTTCCCCTAACCCTAAACCCTAAACCCCAAACCCTAAAGTAGGCCCCCATCCCCTTAGGAACCCGATTGTTTGTGATTGGAGCCAAACCCTGATCTCCAACGACGCACAAGCACGTAGGGTTTAGGGTTTAGGGTTTAGGGTTTAGGGTTTAGGGTTTAGGGTTTAGGGTTTAGGGCTTAGGGTTTAGGGTTTAGGGTTTAGGGTTTGCGTCTGTGCGCAGCCAGATGTGCTTAGCATCAACGTTCCTCTCTGAAGATCCGTTCTAGCAAGTTTTGAACACACATCTCTGAAGTAGTCTTGGCAGGTGCTGTACAAAGAGTGCTTGAGGAAGGAAGGGCATTATATAGGGGCTTCTGTACCTCGCATGGATATTCTGGACCCTAAGCCCTAAACCCTAAACCCTAAACCCTAAACCCTAAACCCTCTTCTTACTAATGCAAGGACCTTCGTTCAAAAGTGAAAGCACCTGTTTGCATGCCCAAATTTCCCTGAGCGCGAGACAGGTCGGGGGGTCGAGACTGGCGAAAGGATCATCCTTGCCAAAGAGAGGAAAAAAAAGGCGGTTAGGGCTTGGGGTCTAGGGTTGAGGGTTTGGGGTTTGGGGGTTAGGGTTTGGGGTTTGGGGTTTAGGGTTTAAGGTTCCGGGTTCCGGGTTTTAGGTTTGGGGTTTCGGGTTTAGGGTCTGAGGTTTAGGGTTTGGGGTTCTAAGGTTGCTTGCATCCAAGGCTTCTCCTCCCCTCCTCCCCTTTAAACCGCTCCCTACTTTACTGTATCTACGTTGCCCAGTAGACTCGGACGAGAAAGGGGTGCCCTTCTTTGGTTATGGGGGTTTTATGAGGGAACGTAAACTTCTTCTCAAGGGCACTACTGGGCATCCTGGTTTTTGTTGACTACTATCTGCTTAAGAACCCCCAAAAAAAACAAAAAACATCCCTAGATTACCCTTCTAAGAAAGAATGTCTTTAGTTTTTTGGTGGTTCTTAAGCAATTGGTAGTTTAAACTTGCACAAAGGCCTTTGGATTCCGGGAATCTCGAATCTTCAGCGGCCAATGCCACAACAGGGTTTAGGGTTTTAGGGTTTAGGGTTTTAGGGTTTAGGGTTTAGGGTTTAGGGTTTGGGGTTTAGGGTTTAGGGCTTGGGGTAAACTTCCTGAGTCAGGCCTCCCTTCACGAAGACCTTGTAACAGGGGGGCGGGGGAGGGGGGGTGGTGTAGGGCTCAAGACCAACCCCTCTAAGTCTTCAGAGAGTTCAAGCTTCGTCTGCAGAGCTTTTTTACCTACAAACCCCATAAACCCAACAAAAAACCGACAAACCCAATGACCTCAAAACCCTCACGGCGGCGCACCAGCAACACCAGCTCTGCTTGGCCATAGATGGCCCGCGCGATGCCCACCCGCACACGCTGGCCGCCTGCAAGGTTCGCCAATTCCTCCACAACACCTATAGAGCTGTGCCCAAATCTCATATGAAGTAGGGTTTATATTTCTTGTACCCCCAAAAGGACACCCAAGGTACCAAAAACAGTAATATAAACCCTGGTTCATATACATCTGCATCTACATATACATTGACTCGGCGTCAAAGTTACTTGTTTAAGCCTTGCTTGTTTTTGAGTTAGCGCGTCCCCTGTCGTTTCCCATGCTTTTTACCTATCGCACATATATCCTATCGTATCAAAAACCTTTCTCATTTAAGCGCGCCCCTTGTCGATCCTCGGCCTTTTGCTGCAACAACTAACCCCTCTACCAAAATGAGCAAGCGGAAATTTTGACCGCGTTTCATATACATATGTATGTATATACAGATATATATATATATATGTATGTATGTATGTATGTGTATATATATATACTGAAATGTAGTATCTACGAATTTCATGGATGCATTTCAAATGTACCTGAAGCATCGTCGTATTTCGTCTGAACTACAACCCTTCTGCAAGCCACAAGGTGACGTGAAGTCCTACATAGGTGTTGTTGAGCCGTGTGTGTAGCAAAAAGCCAAGAATTGACTCTCTTCTGGATCCTGCATATTCAGTCCCTCGGCCCGAAACCCTAAACCCTATACCCACCCCCCCCCCCCCCCCCCGCGCCCCCCCCCCCCCCCCCCCCCGCGCACCCCCCCCCCCCCCCCCCCCCCCCCCCCCCCCCCCCGCGCCCCCCCCCCCCCCCCCCCCCCCCCCCCCCCCCCCCCCCCCCCCCCCCCCCCCCCCCCCCCCCCCCCCCCCCCCCCCCCCCCCCCCCCCCCCCCCCCCCCCCCCCCCCCCCCCCCCCCCGCCACCCCCCCCCCCCCCCCCCCCCCCCCCCCCCCCCCCCCCCCCCCCCCCCCCCCCCCCCCCCCCCCCCCCCCCAAGAAAAATGAACTCCCATTAAGCACACCATGAAGCCGAAAGACCCTGAATTCCACGTACACGCGTAGCTCTGTCATTTGTTTCAATCGTGCTGTGACCCTAACTGTAAGCCCCAAACCCGAGACCCTACACCCTTCAATCCCAAACCCCTCAACCCTAACCATAACCCTAAACCCTAAACCCTGAACCCTGAACCCTTGAGCTCCAAACCTTAACCTGAGCCGCTTGCCTGAGATTTGCGGCACTTGAGGAGCTTGGGCGGCACCCTCGACGGTGGTTTAGGGTTTAGGGTTTAGGGTATAGGGTTTAGGGTTTAGGGTTTGGGGTTTGGGGTTTGGGGTTTGGGGTTTGGGGTTTGGGGTTTAGGGTTTAGGGTTTGGGGTTTAGGG